AAGATCATATAAAATAAAAGTGACTATTAATTCCTAAGTACAGAAAAGCAGAAAAATTGCCAGTCTAATGTATGAAGTAGTGGGTATACTGAAAGACTTTACTGGTAGGTGAAAAGATTTTCTGTGTATTAACTGCCCGGTCCAGGTGAAGTGTCAATGTTTAAGGACCCACATTTTCCATACAATTAGCAATTGATTATTCCCATTTTTTTTTTTTTTTTGTAATGGGTAGACACCCATGATAGTTTATCAAATCATTGCAAGTTCTTCCACAAAAATAAAGGAAGGTTATTATAGGGTCAAAAGAAAGCTTGAGAATGAATAGCCAGAGAAATCCAAGAAACACACAACAACAGTGTGACTGAACAATCAAGACACAAGCATGCTATATCAAAACAAAAGAAGTAATAAATTTTAATAAAATAACAGTAATAAAGCACTGGAAAAAATATTTCCTGTGCCTAAAAATTTTATCATAATTTTAATGTATCTTGGGTTTAAATCAGAAGAGTGACAAAATCACAGCTGCTGGACAAAGTTGCTGAAGAAGAATGCAATCTTACACACTTGCTCTGACACAAGTTGTACCTGAGCCAGCACTGCAGGTTAAAACTTTCAGAGATCAAGGGTGCTTAAAAAGCTTTAGTGATAATAATACTGATAGCATTGGTTAACTGATGGCAAGATAAGGTTTAGAAATGCTAAAATTCTTTGCCAATCTTTTCAGTTTATTCAAAAGGAAGTCTAGCTTCCAGTTGTCTGGATTTTATTTTCTTATACTGTAGCATTTTCAAGTTATTGAACAAATGTTTTGTGAGGATATATTTATCTAGATATGAGATGGCATTACATACATTGCATTACAACATAATGGCTATTACGGGAAATGCACCGCATATTTGATTTCCACATGTCCACTTTCCAGGTGCTTTCGCAAAAATCACAAATTCAAATTTTTAAAAATATTATTTTTCTACCACAGCTACATAAAATTATGATGCATTTGCCATTCATATGTATTTTGGTTTTGGGTTTTTTTCTTTAATTTTTAATAAAAATCAAATGGAATCCAGCGTAATCTAATATTATATCATGGTTCCCTATTTTGCTGTTTGGAAAGTCACTAAAATGATTGTCACCATTTCAGACCTTTGTTTGGTTGGTTTTTAATTAGTGTTGATCCTTTAGAGGGTTTGATGTAGTAGTTATTTCTGAGAATATTCAAACTAAGTATTTTATGCACAAAGGTAGAGAGATTAAATTTCTCTCCATTACTGTTATACGTTAATGATAGCCTTGCTGTTATCTCTCTAGATATCTGTTATTTACTTGCCCTTGATAAATGCATTTTGTTTTTATTAAGCATCATTTTAGTTGTACATGTTTCCAAGGCATCACCTTTATCTGGTATAATTTTCAACACATTTTTATAACTTCCTAAAAATTTGTTTTCTACCGACTTACCATGGGCTTCTTAACTACTACAGAAGCAGCCAGCTAAAACATAGACCACAAGAGCAAATTCAAGTCCTCAGTTGGGGAATGATTTTTTTTATTTAAAATAAGAAAGATTTTACCAAATATTCTGTTTAAGAGTAGAGAACAACACAGTTTCTACCCGTGTATTCTACATACTGCCTTGGAAAAAAAGGACAAAGAGGTACATGGCAACAGATACAACAAATTCAGCCCCTATCACACAGATATCCTCACCCAAGTTTTCTGCTCAAGAAAGCTGCTTTGCAGCCAACAAAATGATAGATTTTTTTTTTTTTAGCAACATGTTCTCTGAGTACTAGCTGAGGTTTCTGTTGCTTTTTTTTCCTATGTATTTTTCTCTCATTTTATTATGTTTTCACTCTTGATAGAAAACAATCGCTGTCCTTATCACTTTGGGAAATGAATTCTTTTAAGCATAGATTAATAAAATATCAGCAAAAGCCAGTATTATGCACATATGACTGAAGTGAATAAAAGTAATTTTATTCCTCTAGCCCTTTTAAAGCTGCAGTATTATTGGCTGTCTCAGTCTCATTGATTTTGCTCGTGTAAGCATATGGGATTTTTTGTAAGTAATGAAATGCTAGGGTTCAGTGTGGTGCATCTTTCATTAAATCTGCAGTGATGGAATCTGTTTAATAATGTGTATGGCAATCTTTTCCCCTCCCCCAACTTTCATTTGGGATAAAGATGTAATTAAATTGTTTTTCTTTCATATTTTCCATGGACAGGTAGTAAAATCCATGGTATTTTTACAGCACTGTGAAATTCCACTTGTTTTGATATATGTATATATATATTTGCTGCTATCAAATATAAAAAAGATTAGCAAACACACCTGTTAAAGCAACTAAGCAAAGAGTAAAACAAAAAGAAAAGGAAAAACATTATCAAAAAACCACAGAATCAGTCCTCAATCCTAAAAACACTTAAGCTTATACATATTTTTCTATAAAAGAATAATCTCTTTGAAGTTCATGGGATCATTGTTTTAAATAAAATTGAAGCTTTGCTTACAATCTACAGTGAAATGATTAACTATGTCTACAGTTTCAGTTATATCTCATGAAAAATAAATATTTTTTTAAGCTCTTATCTTTATAATAATGGGTAATAATTAATCTTTTTTTATAGAGTGCTTGGAATATAAATGGTATTACGTTAAAACATTGAAGTTGAATTTATAAAGCAAGATTCTGAATCTTGGTCAGTACTTCAGATCATTAATCATGTGCTATAGAGAACTGGAACTGAAAAGAGTGGAGACAATTGCCTTTTACACTGCATACACGAATTTATATTAGTTCAAAGAGAATATTTTTGGGGTAAAAAACGAGCTCAAATTTTTGTTTTGTCTAGGATATTGATGAATCACAGATAAAATTAAAAAAGCCTTTTTCTAGGAATAACTAAATAGCTAAAGAAAACTGTCTCTAAATATTGATCATATTGTCTTATTAAGCCTGACAGACTCTTTAGAGTATAGTCAACTTTATTCCTTCAGGTAATGATGCTCTGCTTGTGCATAAAGTGATGCACTTTAGTGATGTCCTATGTTAGAACTTTTGTGTCCATTTTAAATTCTGGATGAAGGCCATAAAAACAAAGCCTGTTTCTACATTTTCTTTTCTTCTATTAAATATGGAAGAGTTTTATATTTCAACTACACATTGACACTTTACATTTTCAAAGCCACTGTGATTCTATACCATACCACAACTTACTACGCAGCTCTAATGGGGGTAGTATAGGGATCCACTTCTTTAGCTTCCTCTAGTTTGAATCAACTTATTTTTCAGTATCTTCAAATATAGATCCTCTGGTCTCCTTTTCTACTAGTCACAAATTCATCAAAGTGATACAAGTTTGAAAAAACTGTCTGTAAACTGGTATACATTGAAAGGAAGGAAAACCTATGGTTTTAAGGGAAGAGAAAGACACTGTGATACAGCACAGCTGAAACATTAAAGTTTGCAAGTGTTCTTCAGTTACATGAACTGTTAATAAGGCTAATGGTTACCTCTTTGATCTGCCCTCCCCAGAGTACGTGTGTGTTACCAGATAATGAGTGGTCAGTTAGCTAATGTTAGCTTGCTACCTGGCTCGGGGCTGGGCTGGCTCTCTCCAAGACAAAACTTGTCTACAGGGATCTAAAGCAAAGCAAAGTGGATACAAATGAGTTGATGCCACTTCGCTTAGGATCGTCCCTTGCTATTTTTCTGCTTATCACTGCAGATGGTCAATATGTCCTCACATGCATGAAATGCCCCTTCTTACAAATCTGATGATGCTGGAGGCTCTTACAGATGAAAATTTGTGTGACTGGCTTCCCCCAGCACTGACAGGATGATAGGACAAACCAGTAGACATTAGTAAGCAGAGGACTCCATTGGGGAGCATGGACATACCTCAGACTCTATTCTTCAAATGGTAAGGCATCAGGTGTGTGGGGTGAGGGGAAGTTTTCAGTCACCCACCGTCTTCCTTATTACATGCTTGAGGCCTGAGATCAAATGAGTCTGCAAACGCATGTAATACGGTATGGACCCATTCTCTGTATCCTCTCTTTAACACGTTACACCCCTGTTACACACAAAATGGCAGCTAGATCTTTCTAAAGCAGACTCCTAGAAACATAGGGCATCTGAAGGCAGAAGCATGCAATTTGTATGCATCTGTAGACTATAATCCTGGGTTATTCTTCTGTAATAGTGCATGCATGTTTGTTCAAAAATGAGTGTAAGTACTTTGAAAACATTTCGTAATATTTAAGAAGTTTTCTCTGTAACTTTTTGGTGTTAGTACATAATAGCCCTGACTATGTTTCAGAGTAATTTCAACAGTTTTCAGAATTAGAATAGGCCAGCCCCACATTTTTTTCCTATACAGACTTTTCTCTAAACTGCCTGAATAGTTATTATAACAGCCTGAGTTCTTATATTACCCTGTGTTCCATACTGTTACTTTTCCTTTCCAGTAAGCTCTCTTCAGAGATAACTAGAAATATGAATAGCACTTATAAGTCAGTTTCTTTTAGGAGAACATTTCATTAATTTCTCTTCATTTGTATCTGCTCATGCCATTTGTGCACTCTACTTTTGTGCACTCTACTCTTTGTTTGTTTTATTACTCCTCAAAGTATCATTCTGCAGGCTTTAGAGATTTCTTCTTTCTCCTGTGCAATGCAAAACCACTTAGTATGCATTCCCTCTCCTTGTCCTTGGGTTTTTTTAATCTTGTCTTTTTTTTTTTTCCTACATATAAGCCACTTATCTGAGAAGTCTGAATGTATTTTGTCCGAACACAATACATGCTCTAACAGTTATATCTTCCTTATACTCCAAAGGAATAATGAAAAGAAATAATCTGGTCAAAAAAGGAAAGAAAGAAAGAAAAACAGTCTATCTCTATTTATAAGAGAAACGGTATGGTTAAGATTTTGCAACCTGAGACTCTAATATTTTATTGGAATCTCAACGAGAAGGCCCATTACTAAGACATTTAAAGTTCTGCAGTTTTTACTGTTTTATTTTACAGGCTTTGTAGGAATGGCACAGAATATTTACATGTATCCCAGATTATTCTTTGCTAGCAATAAATCTAAAATACCAGCTTATTTCCAGTTTAGGTAAAATTTGATTGGAGAAGAAAAAGAGGAACCAGCTCATACAAATACTTAACAAATCCACCATAAATCAGCCATATTATATCAAGTATTATTTAGTACTCTTGCTCCTTTTCCACGCTAGCACTGATTTAAATGCCTTCTGCTGCAGTTTTCTTATTAGAGTGTACCACAGTTGAATGACACATTTTGGAAGTTTTGTGGGATATCCCACTGGTATTGATTGGACTGAGTGGATACAAGTTCAAATACCCATAAAGCTTAAAAATAGATTCTGAAAGAATCCAGTCATTTTCAGAAAGCGTTCCAATACAGAGGACACTTGTAATAGGCAGTTCACGTGCTGGCTGAAAAGCACATTCAAAAGCTCCAGTAAAATTATGTCTCACCAGTTATTTACTGTCAACAGAAAGCAAGCTAGGGGAAAAATCCATCTCTGTTCCAGAAATTTATTCTGAAGTATTTTTTACTTTGAAGAACCAGACCCCCCATTTTCTTATCATCCAGTGTCATCTAGAAGATTGTCTTTCACTGATTTTTCTTTAAGACAGATTTTTTTTTATAGTCAAGCCACACAAACCCAGAGTCAACAAACAGGTATATCCCTGAATCATAGAACAGCTGAAGTTGGAAGCAACCTCTAGAGGTAATTTGGTCCAACCTTCCTGCTCAATTAGGGCCACCAATCCATATACTTCGATTCAACTGTTGGAGGAAATGTGTGGAAATAAGGAACATTGTTGGACCTGAGTCTGATGTAATCACTGCCTTACAGAGCCTGTGTTTAGTTCTCTCTATTGAGCTTTGTATCTCGGTGTCATTTGAATCAGGAGAGCTTCTGAGCTGCTTCTAAGATCTAAACCTTGGAGAACAACAGAATAAGACAGCAGTTCATGACAAGCAAGAAACAACAAAAGATTATTACTAGATAAAGGGAAGATTTTCACATTCTTACTGGCAAATGGCAAAGCAGTTGTGAAATTTACAAAAACTGCTTTTATTGGGAGGAGTTTAGTTTATCCATGCAGTCTTAAAAGGCACTGCTGTCAATGGACAGGAAAGATAGTTAGAAAAAATAGGAACAGAGCAGGGTTCAACATCTTAATGAGGAATCTGGGATGATAATGCATGAAGGTGAGATGGAGGGATGTTTTGAAAGACAGTATATATGGCTTCTGTGAAAAGCTTCAGCTCATATCAGTATTTATTAAATGGAATTGACTTGTCTGACTTCTGGGACATGTGATGTACTTCCAAGCAATCAGCTATCGGTACGCATAGCAGGAGTGCTGGGTTTCATCTTTCATGGTTTTCATCTTCTTTGAGGATAAAGCAGAGAAAGTAGAAGGCCAAATGCCTTGTTCCAAAATGCTAGCACTTTGATTTAGTAGAAGTGATCTCAAGCAATATTACAGATAACCTTCTTATGCAGTACTAGTTGCCCTCATAGTCTCTTTCTTTGGTTTAACAGAGCAATTCCCGTCCTTTGGCAAAGCAGCTTGACTGTTTATAATTACTTGTTGCTGTATGCTAGTGCTTTAAAAGCCAACACTAGTTGTTCTTAATGAAGTACATGAAAAAGAAAATGATATGGGTAGTTCTTTGTCAGAGGAAGAAAAATAAAGACACTCAGCCTAGAGGAACTGCGTATGAATATAGACAAAAGAAATAAAATGCTATAACTTAAGAAAAAGGACAAGAAAAATGTAAAGAATAAATCAGAGGTGTATTGTTGCTCAACTGAAAAGAAGCCATAGTAGTTAATAGGGCCAAACTATTATTGAAATACGTGCTACTTGCTAATATTGAAAAGCAAGCTGAGCTAAAGCAGAGAGATGTTAGAGAAATATATTCTAATTAGTCTGAACTAAGAAATTAATAACAAGAAATCTTCTGGGAATGCTAAATAAAGAGGAAAAAATGTTTCATACTACTTTAAGCTGGGCTAATGCAAAGATGTCCTGGTTTGTGGTAGAACAGAACCGATTGTCTTTTCAGTAATTTTACTTTCCAGTTAAGTCTCTTCTAACTAACTAACTCTCTGAAATTAACGGTGTATTTTTCAAACAATGTCTGCTTCTAGCAGATAATGTCTGATGTTTATAGCTAATACCAGGGAATGGTATGCAGAGAGGCTCCTGCTTATACTTATTGCTATAACAACCGAGGTCAGCTAAATTTGTTATTTGCCCCATTGGAGGGTCAGCAGGAGAAAAGCGTAGAGGGATCTCACCTATGGGGAGGAGCAGACAGGAGAGGTGATCCAAAACTGACCAACAGAGTATTCCATCCCACCTGCATCATCCTCAGTATAAAAGCTGAGGGATCAAAGGGTCAGCCCTCTCTTCTTCAATGGCTAGCATCTGAGAAGGACTCTGTCTGTCTGCCTTTGATTCTGATCTGTGTCTTCCTGAATCCGGTTTTTGAGTTCAGTTCCTGTCCATCGCTGAGTCCAGTCTGGGACTTTCCAAGTGGCTCCAGTAATGGGATTGTCATCCTGCAAGTTCAATAAAGGTTGCATATATTGGATATATTTTTTTTGTGTATGATTATATTTTATTTTTATTATTGATATTTCACTAAGTAGTTTTGGTTTTCTTCTTAACACTTAAGTGGCTCTCCCTTATTCTCTGTTCCTTCTCTTGGGAAGAGACAGAAATTAAAGAGACCATCTCTCATTGGTTTAGTGGCCAGCCCAGCCTAAACCACAAACAAAACATTTAATTTTTCCAATTGCAAGGACAGTTACTGCAGAGGGAAAAGCATTTGGTGATAAAGACCTGAATCTTGATAAAGAATTCTTTTAGAATCTGCAGATTCTTTACATTAAGATTTTAAAAATAAGGATGAACTTTTAAGAGGGGTAAAAAACTAGCACTGATAGTATGTGTTATCAGAACATCCATCTTCCCAAAAACCTAACAGAGCAGCTCAAATCAAAAACCGTTTCTACTGCAGCTGTCATTTTAGCATGTGATGAATCAATATGTATTAGAGCTGTAGATCAGCTCTTTTTTGAGTTTGTTGTGCGAGTCCTAAAAGCTTTGTATCATCTTTTCAAACACTGCATGTTAGAATCTGCATAGAAGATATACTCAGTTCTGTCCATTTGGTCTGTAGTGAAGGGAGCATCCAACTAATTCCCACAATTACTTTAAATCCAGATGGAGTTTACAGTCTCCCTGAAAAACTTTTCACCTCATTTTTGTTTCATTGCTACACAGATTTATATGGGCTAAATTTAATAGAGGGTGGGTCCGAGTCTGTGATCCAGAACAAACTCTTTTCACACATAGAGTATATAAAACAAGAGTGCAAAGTTGAGAACATCATCGTGAGAACAAGGGGAAGAGAATATTTTTTATATGTGTGACCTCTTTGCATTGAAACAACTGTGCATTTACACACTGTGAGAAAAGGCCAGCATCTTGATGCCTACACTAGCTAACTCTATGTATCCAGTCTGTCCTTCTGGTTATGTCCCATTAACAGTACCAAGAAGATGGTCTTCAGCACTAATCTGTGATTTTTTTGACTGCTTAATTCTTAGTGTCATCACTGGTACAGTTCTGGCTGTGCCAAACAGAGAAACAGAGTTCTCTCAAATTTTGTCTAAGCACAAGAGAATAGGTCCCTCTGTTCTGTTTCTCTAGAGCTATCTCAGCAGGCTTTGAATCCTCAACCCCTCTGTCCCCCCCATCCTCACCCCCATATTTTTATGTTACGCTGCAGATCATCTGTGTATGTATCATGTAATCTCAGAGTCAGCTGTAGAATTACTTCCAGAGATTTTGAACTTATAGATAAAAAGTAACAACCAGGTCTGCTTGCCAGCAATGCACTGCATAAGGTCTCTAAAAGGTCTGTAGCCAAGTGCTATGCTGTGCAGAGGTGGCCGCACCATGCCTCTTGGCCTCAGGGCTAGAGAATGGTTCTTTGTTCTGCTTATTTTAGTAATATCTATGTGCCAATGTCTGCTGGTCTGCTCGGCACCTAAAAGAACATTTGTTTTGTGCCAGCTCTCTGAAGTGGAAAACAGCATTCAGCAAGATCCCAGCTCACTCCTTACTACAAAACAGAGGCATTTTGTGTCGTTCCTTTCTGATTTTCCTTGCTGGCTTCTATAAGACATCGCTGCAGTTTCTGGCACTGTGTAGGGTAATCTTTCCTGCCAAATATCTTACCTTCCCTCCTGATGTCATTTACATAATCGGTGTTTTCAGTTTAAAAACGTTTATCTTAAACTGTAACAGAGCAAGAACGCAGCCTGATGCATCCAATCAACTGTCCGCACAGAGGGCTCCATCTTTTCTGGAGGCTCCAAGGTCTTCTGTTACCACTCTGCTACCCATTTAGTGAGAAGCACCACACTGATCCCTCCGCTCCTAAACACTTCACAGACTTCATCAATAGTTTTGGGAGAGGGGACAGAAATCTAGATGCACTTTTCCACACAGGTGCGTAGCCCATACTCTTGGTGGAAGTAGCAGTCTTGTATTTCATTTCAGTTGCCTTTTAGCTCAGTAAACCATCACTTGTACACAAAGTGAATGTCATGGTTTAACCCCAGCTAGCAACTAAGCACCACATAGCCACTCAGTCACCCTTCCCCAGTGGGATGGGGGTGAGAATTGGAAGGGTAAAAGTGCGAACACACATGGGTTGAGATAATGGCAGTTTAAGAGGGAACACAAAAGCTATGCAGCATAAGCAAAGCATCTCCAGGAAAGCAGGGCTTCATCACACATAATGATTGTCTTGGAAGACAGATTTCCCCTTCCTCATTCTTCCCACCCATCTTTTATTGCTGAGCATGATGTCATATGGTATGGGATATTGCTTTGGTTAGGTGGGGTCAGCTGTCCCAGCTGTGTCCCCTCCCAGCTTCTTGTGCACCCCCAGCCTGCTTGCTGGCAGGGTAGAGAAGCAGAAAAGGTCTTGACACTGTGTAAGTACAGTTCTGCAACAGCTAAAACATCTGTGTGGTATCAGTTGTTTTCATCCCAAATCCAAAACATAAAACCATAGAAACTACTATGAAGAAAATTAACTCTATCCCAGCCAAAACCAGTATGGTCAATCAGCCACCCCACAAAGCTGGGGCAAGCTCCTAGGAAACGGGAGGCAGAAACATCAGTTCTTTGAAAAGGAAAAGCAATTTAAACACTGTCTATAGCATGCCGGATTCAATATAATACCTTTGAGATTAAGCTTCTTGGGAAAACTTAGAAGTAAACTCAATTTGTGTAGAACAACAGATCTTACAAAAGAAATATATGTAAAGACTGCAGCCTTGCAGAGAAAAAAGACTGGGTTTTGGCCATCTTTAACATAGAATTACATGCTTGAAATTTAGCTAGGGGTCTGGGGATTTAAATCACACTACAATCACATCATAATCTTACTTAAATTCTGGTTCAGAAGCTGAACCTAAGAAAACCTTTAGTTACCTAAGTTCCTTTATTAGCATGGACAATAACATGACAGGCTGAAAGGGTATTCAAAGAGAAAGGCAAAAATGATAGTCTCTATTGTTGTTGCACACTGAAGAATGCAAAGACCATAAAAAACTGGCCAGATAATATTTGTGGAGAATTTGGTTTAGGCAAAAATTCAGTAATGCACACTGAACTCTCAGGACTTCAGGTAGTTGCAAAAAATTGCATTTTTTTCTGTTCTTCCAGTTGTTTATGTTACTCTTAGTTAATCTTGCATTATTTGTAAAGAGCTCATAGTAAGATCTAAATACAAAAATACATTTACTAAGCTCTTTTGAATCCCTTTTATGATCTGTTATTTCCTGTCTTCATTTTTCTGATGTTAAGCAGTCTATATGTTTAGACTCCTAAGTGATTTTTTAAACAATATTTCGACTACATATACCTTTTACAATATCTTTGTCAGACAGAAAATTCATTATTTCTGAGCATACTGTCAGCATGTTCCTGCATGTATATAAAAATCTTAACAATTTTGAACACCATCCTGCTTATATTCTGCTTGATTCCTTGCACATATACTTTCATTTAATAGCTGGAATTTAATGTTATTGTTTAGTCTGCTGTCTGTGTCACTGAGGACTGCAGTCATTCCTTAATGTCCACCCTGTGAATTTACAAAAAAAAGATGATACAAGTTATAGAAATATTCAGAAGAGATCAGCATCATCCTTTAGGTCTCATTCTGATTGCTAATAAATCCACATTTTTTTTTCCAAATGAATCTATGGAGGTCATTTTAGAATTATATTATGAATTTTCTCATAGCAATAGTCCCTAGAAGTTATATCCATAATCTGTGTAACGTTTACTGGTATTTACTGTAGTATGTGCTTCAAAGGATGCGTAAGAGGACAATGGAGGTTCTGTGCACTCTTTTACCAGCACCCAGGCTGCACATACCAGCTGGAGTGAGTTATGGATTCCCAGACCCCTCACTGTCCCTGACATCCCATCTTTAGGACCATACGGGGGTCCTTACTGGCCTGGCTGCACTGGTTTCCTCCTTGCAAAAGCAAGGTGGGTGTGCATGGTATCTCAATGTCTGAGATACATGCATGGGGATTTTGTGTGACAAAGTTTCTATGGGTGGCTTGTGTTCATCTGCAATACCAGCCAGGAGTCAGGAACGGTAACCAGCACTCCAGATGATGTTCATGGCCTGGCCTGTGCTTGTGCAACTCCCCTGGACCCTTGCTCTGACTGATGGTCACCCTTTCATTTTACTGCTTTTAGGGTGGGATTCAGTTGCTTATGCATGGCACTTAGGGACATTTGACATGCATTAAAGTACCTCACCTGGCCTCCAGCTACCACTCCAAAGACTGGGAACCCATGTAAACTCTCTGGTCTACCTGTCTGGCTTGTGCAGACATCCTGAACGCTTCAATACATCCCAGAAGGGACTAAGGGTCTGTGTCCGCATGACCGAGCGGATTTCCACTGATTACTGTGAGTGCCTTTATGTAGGTATCTAGATTTAGGTGTCTCAATCTCAAGCAAATTCCACCTGAGTTCTACACGCACATGAAGAAACAATAACCTAAAATAGTTGGCATATTAAATAGGAGGTAGTCTATCCTAAGCTAAGTGAATATTACTGAAATTAAATATATTTTATCTAATATATATAACGTAAAATGTAAGAAGAAAAAAAGGCAAACTCTTGTGCAAACTGTGTTTCTCTTCATTATTACTCATTAGTACTGTGAAATCTTGTTATGATCAGGTTTTGTCAGCATTGTAACTGCAAATAACAAACCTCATCCTGGAATGATTATATTGGGACACACTCAGGCTGTGTGTCACAAGTGCAAAAAATATGAAGACACTGCAGAGTGATGCTGATAAACTTTTGTTAGCCAGGTAGCACAGCTACAAGGGATCAAATTAAGTTTGGTACTGTTGCATGGTGCCTCCAATCCATGTTTTCTACATCCATGAAACTTGAGTTTACATTGCTGCACGTTTGCATCTATCAAGGTACATTCTGAATAATTTTGTGTGATGGGTCAATACACCACTAGTATTAAGTGACTTTTGTGAAGATTTATGTAACGAAAATGAGGGTACCCAAATCTGGCTTCTGGTGCATATCCTGTAAGAGGACCATTATTCTTCAGTGTGTTTAATAAGTTATATGATTAATTTTCAGTTTGTGTGTTCCACTTTTTCTATGTAATCTTCTGGGAAGCTAAAAGCTTGATGTTCCTTGAATTTGATGAATGCCTAGCCAAGAGTACTGCAACTACTGTTACATGATGTATATGTTTCCTTTCATGTACTCCATACAGATAAGCTACAGATGTTTTTTAACCTATGCTTTATTTTTGATTTATGGTGAACTTGAAAAATGAATTTATGGCTAATAAGAAATGCAAAAACAAAATTCAAACCACATGTTAAATAAAATGTAATGACTTGAGATGTACTAACTGCTCTCAGCCTGTGGCTGATTACCATAATCAATCAGTGGGCTTGTTCAAGCTGAGGATGCTCCATTCTGAAAGAAACAGAGTTGCTAGCAGGCATTTTTAATAATGTTTTAGGAAGATGTGGTAGAATATTGGTGTGATGTAAAGCTGGATGGAATTTTCTCTTTCAGTACTTTGCACTTCAGTGCACAGTTGTAGGTGTGGATGAGTAGCATTTCTGTAAGTATTCTGGCCCTGTCTTTAATAATACTATCTCCTTAAATTACTTTGCTGAACTAAAACTATGTTGTAAAGTGGCAATAAATTCTGTATGTTGGTGAAAAACCTTTTGAATGATTTTTCAGATGTTAAATGAACTGGATTACATTGTTTCCATGCAGTCTCACCTTTAGCTTTGCTGAAAGAATAGATTTGCAAAAATTTACATAAATTTGCAAAGCCAAGGCATACATGTAAGCTCATTGCACAAGTTTGTATGTATCAGCCCTTATCTTGGCAAACACTGGGAATTTGAGCTCAGGACTGCTAGAGACAGTAGTATGTGTTTCTGTGACACAAACTAAACCATGTTACTAAAATCAGATCTGTAGCCATGCCCTATGAAAACTATATACAAGGATAAAAATCAAAATTCTATACCTATAATCTAAAGAAACCTCAAAAAAAGCTGTGCTTGAGTTAAAACTCCAACTGTGAGGTTCAGCTACATCTTTTAAAAACATGACTGTGGCTGTCTCAGTCTGGAGCTGGAATGCATCCCAGACTGTAGTTTCTGACAAAAAGTTTAAAAACCTAAAATTTGCACCTATGCTTATGTTCCTATTCTGACTTTGGTATCTATGATGAGATTTCTTTCATTTAGATTTTGCTATTTGTTAGTGTTATAGTTGCCTGTAACAACATCTTTCAATTATTTTTGTTTAAAAAGTATCCACTTATCATCTACTTTGAGTAAAATGAAAAATCATCAATATATTTTAATTATTTTTTTTTCCCGGTTTTCCAACTGCTATGGAACATTTGTGACAACTTTTTTAAAGATCTTTGTTTTTTCTGTCCTGTACACAAGTAATTTAGCTGATCTATTCTGTATTAATTTTTCTTGCAAATAATCTGTGCTTTAACATGTATGAAAGGAGTTGGAGCTTGCTATGAAAAGCATGTTTTCTTCAGGTTTCACAGAAAAGAAATTCAGAGATAGGTTTCTGGTAGATCTAAAAGATTTGTTTCTAAGATTAGTGTGAGACTAGTAGCACTGTAGTATTTTTACTATGTTTGCTACAACATTAGAGCAGTAAGATTACCTCCCGCAGACAGCTGAATAATTCATTTCAGTGAACATGATGATTTATCAGCATCTCTTTAGTCAATTGGATAAGTTTTTCTCCCTTTGAACAAAGAGAGCATTTCATACTTAAAATCTGTAAAATTGTACAGTATCGCCTATCTGATCCATTAGGTACACCAAACTAATTAATTAAATAAAGAACCTACAGACTGTTATGAATGTACATACACGTGCAATAGCACATTAAGATATGATCATGTGAAAAAAATAATCCTATAGCTTCTAACAATTATTTTTTCTTTTGTAGAATTATCGTGTTTCCTTGAACTTGAGCATTTTCATGTTTTAAGGTATATGTTTATATTATGGTATGTTCAAACAGGGGACTTCAAAGCCACTATCTCTATCACAATACATATTACTAAGCTGAAAAATGACACAACACTCTCAATGGTATAAATTCTGTAGCAGAGGCAGCATTTCAAGTTTTAATTACATGAGTTATTCAAAAAGTTTTGCTTGCAAGACTACAAAAAAAATAATGAATGATATGGCATGTTTGGGAAAATTATTTTTGTGAATGCAGACAAAGGGCAGACTACAACTTGTGTAACTCTGCAATGGTACTGATGTTTCTGAAAACACTAAAGCCTAGTAGAGGCAGAAGCTCATGGAGCGGCTTGAAAGAGAACTTGCTGAACCTGAAAATATTGTCAACCATATTTATTACATTGCCTAAAAAGGAAACTGTAAGCACAATTTAATTCACAACTGAACTAAGCAATTTTATACTAAGCTAGGCTTTTGCTGCTGACTGGGAAGTTGAGTTCTGAGTCAAAACAGAAACTTAAGGGAAATGTTGAAGGTGCTGGGAGAATTTAACCATTTATTGTGCTCAGAGATTTTGTCAACACTATACATCACAATTCTGTCGTGGTAATCCCAACATAGTTATGTTGGCATGTAGTTTGGTAAAAGAGTTTATTGTTAAACTATAGAGAAATTAAGTAAAAAAGAATGAGAGTTATGTATAAGATAATTAACCCATCTTAACTTCATATACTAGAATACATTGCCAGAACTAACAGTTTAAAAGGAAAAAAAGAAATTCCAAGAAATATTTTTTGTAACCAGTAAAAAAGCTGGTTGGTTTTGATTTGGGTTACAAATTCACTGGGAAATCTTGATTAGAAATACTCCACAGTATGCAGCTACACATTTGAAAACTCAGTTTAAGACCAGGTGCTGGGAAGCATCACTTTAAGAACAGTGTGCTACATTGTTTTTGCACAAAATGATCCGTGGTGATTATTAGGAGAAGAAAACAGTGACATTCAATGATTGCTGTGGGGTGCTGGAGGCTGAAAAGGTGGCTTGCAATCTGTTTTTTAGGTTTTGTCTTGTTTTGTTTTTCCTACATGGAAAATGGAAGGTACCACTGCTGGCTATTTTAGCCTGAAATTATACTTTGGACCAGACAAACTTGAATAGAAATAAAAAAATACTTTATTCTACACTTTATTGACCAACAGTTTAGAATCAAGCTCATAGCTACCTGTACCTTACATCAGCTCCAAGTTTATTTTTTTGTTTCATCAACTAGCAAGTAGTCAGAATGACGACAAGGAATCCTTGAGGCTGGTACCTTACCCCTGTTTGAAAAAAAAAAAAAAAAAAAAAAAAAAAAAAAAAAAAGAAAAAATAAAGTATTTTTCTTATGTACTATTTCACTGAATAAAATCTGAATTTGAAAATTCATGTATCACAGTATGCGCAGATTAAAAAAATCCTTCCTACAGATTCTCATAACTAAACCTGAATATTTGTTCTGGCAGCTTTCTTGAAATATTATTCACTACCATTTCTTATCTTTCAGAAATGACATTATCATTCCACTGTAAATGTCAGTTAGGCATAAGTAACTAGATCTATCTCCCATCCTGATTACAGATTAAAATTGTTGATAATTGTCCTGGCAATTGCCTGGGCTGCAACAAATTTCTAACACATTGTGAAAACTACGTGTTATCAAGCTGGAGGAAAGAAGACTCTGCTGTCAGTTTATCATGTATGTATACCTTACATACTGAAATCTATGTTTGAATTGTACTATATAGTTAAAAGATATAAAAGACGTCTTTATTAGCTATTGATCAAAACTAGAGACAATCGCCAAGCAATTTCTGTGATAGTGAGTTTCAGGTCTACAACTCTAGTCTAGTTTTTGAGAGACCCTCAAATCCCTAAAATGTCATAATTGAAGAAAAAACTCATCTGGAAATATGATAGAGAGTAAATGGGGAATTATAAAAAAGTGATGAAAGAAATATACTTTAAATCTTGTAAAACCTGGGAAAAAACCCTAATATATTGATTATTCCTATTAGCGTACCAAAGAGAAGCCAAGTCATAGCAAGATCTATTTGAAGCTCCTCTCAGATTTCAAAAATCTATTCCAGAGGTCAGATTCGAGACACCACTGTAATATCTATCCATATTCCTATAGCAGAAAAAAAAAAAAAAAGTTTTAATATGTTTTTACATCTAGAAGAATTTCATATTTATTTGTTTCTGTACCTACACCCCACCAACCCCACTCCCAATTATTCATGTATCCTGACTGAACATGCTATTAAAAATGACATAATGTACTGGCTAGCTGAATAATTTCAGTGTAAGGTTTCACTTATCAAATCTTTGGGGTTCAAGTTGATGAGAAATCTCATACTCATAAGGAAGTCTAAATATAAAAGAAATTCCATTCTGTTCTGTAATATCCTTTCATCTGCCATTATTGGCAATTAGACTGTGAATGGTAGTCAGGTAAAATACTTATTGACACACTAATCAATACTAGTGCCACAAGCCGATTTATAGGCAGTCAGAAGTGAGAGAGAAATCATTTCAGTGAAATGGGTTTTTTAGTTTGAAGATCTTAACTTCAGGACAGACTTGGAGAAGTGACTTTAAGCAGATCAAGGAGCACTTTATCAAAGAGATAACAGAACCTGAACTTTTGCTCCTAGCTAAACTTCAGGCTGTGTCTGAGATGAAATTTTCTGGGGTATAAAACTGTATCACTTGGTAATCTGATGAAATCAGAAGAGGCTATACTCAGGTTGATGAAAGAGACAGGAGAAAATTAAGTAAAAATATTGACAATATGAAATCTTAATGGCACAGCCAAGGTCTGGAAAACTAAGTTGTTACTTCTTTTATTTAGCCTTTTTAAAATGAACATGAGACTTAATAGTTTAACACTAATTATTGGAAAAATATAGATCATGTGTGATGGATTTCACTGAAATTAGAAGAGTTAATATATAAAAGTGCAGGTTCTGATAGAGACTAATAACCAAGTAGTTGAGACCTCCTACACTTTATATGTCCTCATCTGGACAAGACCTGGCGTTTTGTTAGAATAATTCATTCCAACTCACTGAATAAGGCTTAAAGAAAGCATTATAGCTGTATTTTCCTGCAAACACAAGCAATCTTCCATATTTAAGAACCTGTGCAGTTTTAACAACAACAACAAAAAAATCAACAGAAGAGCAAGCAATACTAAGGCAAACTACAATTCCTTTCCCCCGTTAGCCCTGGGAAGAGACTGCTATTGCTGTGACACAGTAACAGAAATACACAGTGCTTTTGTGCATGCAGTGTACCTGAATATGATTCTGCCAAGATAGCATGGCTTTGGTCTGTTGTTTTTTGTTTGGTTCTCTTGGTTCTCTCTCTTTTTTTTTTTTTTTTTTTTTTTTTTTTTTCCCTAAATTGACAGCATTACTTATAATAAGAGAATAAGTTCTTCAGGGTCTATTGTCGGAGTTTTTCAGAGGTCAGAATGACTTCAGGTAACATGAAAGAGTAATATTGAATGGAAAACAAGGTATAACATATACAATCTTATAGTCACTTCAAGTGTACTAGAATTAGTGGAAAACATGCATTATAAATTATATAGACACTGTATGAACCCAACCAAAAAGAAGCACATAAAATATTCAGTTTTGAAATTTACACTAATATTTTCAGAAATAAAGGTTCCTTATAAAAGTCACGGTGTTTTAGCTATAAATAAGCTAGAATAATCACAGCTGCCATAATAGTTTATATTGAAGTAAATATTTTTGAACTTCCAATTTATAAATTAAGCTTTCTTAGTATTCATTTTGTCTAGCTAGCAACTAACCCTCTACTGCCATGAATAAGTCTTGACATGATAAAAACCATATTTTTTACTGGTATCTTCTTTGGATTGTGCTAAACACTTTTCCATGTACACATTGAAAGGTAAAAGAAATGGTAGGTCATAAATGAATAGAAAATAAAAAAATTACTTTATCTCAGTCAGTCAGCACCTGCATATGTTAAACAAATTGTTAAGCCATATGCTAGCAGTTAAGTGTTGGATCTAGAGGTAAGTGAATCCCTTCACGTGTGTTTTAGAAATTGCTTCCAGATCCTTTCAAATTCATCTAGTTGTATTCCCTAAGCCATAAATTATCTCCAAATACGCACAGTGGGTATTTCTGTAAAATTTGCAATTCAGTGCTTTTTGCTTAATTCTCTCATGTCTGTGGGTGCTTTAAAAAGATTTATTTTTTTGGCTGTTGTAGAACTCTTTCAGGACCTCAAAAATCTTTTTAGAATGTGAATGTCTTAATGCAAAACTATTAACGTTGTGGATCTGTCACTGAGTAAGATACTTATTCATATAAGGGAGCTTCTAGGTAGATTTGTCTAACATTTATCATTTTGGTCCCTCTGAAATTAGTAATGATTTTAATGCTTTTGAAAAATATGTAGGAAATCTTGGCTACACATGCCTTAAAACATGCCTTAAAATTTTATCATCTGAATCTAAGCATGTGCAATCTTACATCAGCAAATCTCTTTAACTTTCCATTGATCATTGTTACATTAATATGAGGATCATATAACTGTTTTATAGATTTTTTTTTAATATCCTTAATTCTACTGACTGACATGCATTCATCTTATAGCTAATTTAGACTGAGATATAGACCAGCTATATATGTGTGGTCAAATATTAAGACTTATGTGCTTTGACATTTTTGTTTAGAATTAGCTGTCTGAAGTCTGGTTCCTCTGGTTTATTTGATTGTGTCTTCTTTAGCCATCTCAGAGTTTCTTGAATGAGATTTTTCTGATCCCTTTCTGTTGTTTTTGATGGGAATCTCATACTACTACAACCTCGAGCTATTATCTCTTTTCACTTCATAGTTTTTTCCATTAGATCTGCTCTAATTTATGATTTTTTATTTATGTTTGGGCAAAATGCAAATAACTAAATTCAAATGTTTGTAAATACCACATCCAAAATTTACACTTAGGAAGTTCTCATCAATGACTATTACCTAACTGGAAACATCTAGCATGCTATTCAATTCAGCACCACTTGATGATTAAAATTCAGTTTGTCAGGACTTTGAGGGCATTACCAGGTCTCACTCTTCCAGCCCAGCCTCCACTGGGGGTGCCTCATTCTGCCCATGGTCCAGGACCTCACGTCACCCCCTCAGTGCTGTCAACCCCTGCCCCAGGGGTGCTGTAGCAGGGTTGATCTCCATCTCCCCACATTCCTGCCCTGCCCAAGCATGAGCACCACTGAGCTGGGCCCACCTACAGGCATAGGCATCCTATAGGTCCCGTCTTATGTCTGTCAGCCCCAGGCAGATGTTTTGGGTATCTTTGAGTATTTCATACAGTGTTAGACTCCCATGTTTAGGAAACAGAAATAAGTCCCTTATCAACACAATCATGAGGTCCATATTCAGGTAACAAAAAAATCAGATAACAAAATTCTGTCTTAGGTTATGATAAATATATCTGAATTCCACCTACAGTACTTATTAGATTTTCACTGTGTATAATAGAAACATAATCTCCTACATTTACGTGAATTCAAATCCACCCCGAATTTAAGAAGGGCTGGATTCAATTACTAAACATTGCTTTCTGGTGTGGCATGAAGGAACACAGGCTGTTTGCAGGCACAAAAATTTCTGGAGTTACAGTGGAGAGCTGTTGAGGGTAGAAGGAATCAAAACTGGACTGGCCTTCTCCAAGCTGCCCTTTTTGAGGCAGTGGGTGGGATGAAATTTGTCCAGAATGTGTCCTACCTGGAGACAGCAGAGTCATTGGAGCACCCCAGAAAAGATCAAGGGACTGATCTAGTTTGTAAATGCTGTGTGGATCTGATCAGCATTTCAGGCTTGAGAGTATTTTATTTAACAGAAGAGGCAGACCCTTGGATTACTCAAAACGGAAGTTATCAGTCTAATCTGTTTAAACCTATGAAGAATGTGGGAAGAGCAGAAAACCAGCATAAAATCAGTCACAAAGAAGCTTTACACACTTGCAGAATTTATCTTCTTCAAAACTGCATAAAACAACTTAGCCTACAAGACTGATTAATAAAATTTAGTTAAACTGACACATGGCTTTTTCCTCCCAATTATGCAAGCATATCAAGTCAACAGTGTTCTTTGCTATGCACATGTCTAAATCTCTGATTTGCTTTCATTTTTAAATAGAGAGGACAGCCTAGAATCTGAGCACATAAACAAGCCTCTGGGGCTGCCACTCCAGATGGACTAATACTGGCAAAATTTGCAAGGAAAGCTTACAAAACAGCCACCTACTTTAAGAAATCTCAAGGCAGTATTATTGGACTGCAAAACTACTAATTTCCTATGGGTTTTAAAAGTAACAGAAATTATTCGCTAGATAATGTTGACAATAACAAAAGGGGCAGTCCAGTAAGCATATAGGTGCCATTTTAAAAAAAAAAAAAGTAGATGCACCACATTGTTTACTTACAATTCACAATAATTCATTGCCTCTTCTCTAGAAGATGTTGTAATATAATGAAGGAAAATGCTAAGTAAAATGGTCATGTTTAGCTTAGTTACAAGAATTGATTCTCACAATAATTTTTTAAAAAAGTGAGAAGGTTATGTTCTTGAATAATACTATATTAAACGTCCATTTGGCTTTTTAGGAATTTTATTTATGTGAAAACCATGGGGTACACAGCACGGAAAATTTACTCTGACAAACAAAAAACCACAAGTGTTTGAATATGATGAGGAAGTTCTTGTAACAGACCCCCTCTGCAAACTGTTTTGCTTGCACTTTTGAAACCATGAAAATGGCTGTTACTGCATTATCCATCTAGCAACTTCTGTAGCTTATGGCAGAAACCATTCAGTTTAACAACTTAGAATATTAAGTTTTATTTCATTAATTTTTCCACATTGAAAATAATTAAATGAAAAAAAGGTGTTTCTTAAAATGCTCATATAGCAGCCATATAACATGAAACATTGTATTCTTAAAAAGCTATTTTAGTACTGGAAAATGAAACTGTTACATTATTGTGATTTAAGTAAATCTGAATTCTATCAGCATCTGGCCTAGTAGCATGGAAGAGTGATCTGGGAACCATAATCATGACAAGGAGTACTGCTTGTAAAGGAATAATAAAAGAAAAATAATTTTCGTATGCAGAGCACTTCTAATCCTATTATCTGTTTCCAGAATTTCCTTACTATTCCTCTAGTATGTCCAAACTTCTGGCACCTTATGCCAAATCATGTAATATGAAAATTTTTCATGTTCACAATGTTTGACTGAAAGGGCACAACTTGATTGCTTTCAGAAATCAAGGAACAGATTGTAGAGAACAAAGATCTTGCAAATAATTTTAACCAAAATTTAATTCTAAGGTATAAGACCTTCATATTTCCTGTGGCATCTGAAATCTGTGATCTGAATTCCATAACAAAAAGGTTAGACTTTGACAAGTGTTTGAATGAACTCAAGAAGTACAGCTCTCCAATAAGTCAAATATCAGTATTTACTAGACCAGTGGATCTACTGTGAAAATTAGTTCTGCCTAGCATGTACAAGTTAGAAATTTAGACCACTTTCTTTGAAAATTCTTTTCCTGAGTTCCGCCCACCCACCTCCTTATGTGGAAAGCTCAAGATCGTGAATGATACCATGACATAGCAAAGCCAGGTCAAAGGTACCTCTAGTTCTTGAAAAGTTAATACAATGAACAGGCACTCACTGTTCACCTTCTTTGTGCCGTTCATGACTTTACAGATTTCATCATCATTATCATAATCATCTCTCTCTCCGCTTTTCACTTTTCCAATCTAAAGATTCTTAGTTCCAAGATTCTCCAAATTCTTTTTCGATGATCTCTCTGCTCTTCTCTGAACATTTCTCTATTTTCTTACAACCTTTTCGAAATGGAAGGAAAAGAGCTGTACAAAGTATTAAAGATCAACAAGCAGCATGAATTTGCAGTGGCATGTTTTTTCTTTGTTATCTGTTGTCTTTCCTAGAAACTCCTAAAGTTCAGTTGAATTTTTGATTACTAGTGAACACTAGGCAGACCTTTTCAGAGAACCACTCATTGTACTTTTTGTGATCTTGACCCTGAGCAGCAGTACTCAGCTCAGAGCCCACCATTGTATAAGGATATGTTATGTTTTTTGAAGCATAGCTATCATCACTAAAACAATATATACGCTGAATTTCAGTGCTAATATACAAAATCAGTCAGGCTGTTATGTGAAACCAAATGTAAGCAAACATAAAAATGTTCTGAACTGGAAAAAAGTTCCCAGTGGCACCCTTTTCCATAAGGGCAAAAAAGGACACTAACCACTTATCTCTGTAGACACGGCATGTATTGTCTAAATCCTAAAAAAAGACGGTGGGGGGGAACAACTAAAACCCGGAAATGGTAACATATACCAAAGGCAACATAACCAAAAGAGTCTGAGAGCTGCAAAAACACTTTCAGCATGGAATTGATTAATATCTTTTTCATTACTCAGTTAATTACATTAAAAAAAAAGTTTCCTTAATATTGAATCATAATTAAGTATAAGATGACTTCCTATTTTTTCACTACCAAGTCACATGGAATCCTAATCTTAGAAATACATGAGTGGCATTCAATGTCAGCTAAGCTTCTAGTTTTGCCTAATTAAATCTGGGTGACATGACAAAGCAATTTCCCTCAGGGCTGCCTGATGTCACGTTTTTATCAGCATAATTTCATTGTACAGTGCAATTCATCTTCAGAGAGAAAACAAGGCAATGCTAGGTAGTGACCCCAAATCTATCCAAACCACCAATCCACTCCAGGGAAGGGAGAAAAAAACAAATTAAAATTCTTAGCTGGTATAAATCTGGCAATCTGTACAGAGTTATCTGTGCTTGCATTAATGGACCATGATGACTTGTACCAGCTAAAAAGCTAAGTTTCTTTTCCATAATCGTTCTTAGCTTGAACTGAGATAATTAGTGTGAAATGCTATATTAACCTCAAGTATTTATACAAACATCAGTCCTAATTATCTATATTATATAATTATTCTTAAAAGTATCTACTAAGGGAATTTCTCCTAAACAATGTTGCTCATTTGATTTTTGAAGAACTTGTCGATAATAGGGTTTTGTCCTCCTGGCCTTTAAAACTGCTGGTATCCTAGATTGTTTTTAAATTCAGTCATTCTGAGCTAAATCAAGAATAATTGCAGCAAGTCACTGGAGCTACAGGACTACTGTACAATTCTAAATAATATTTAATAATATATCTGGAGCAATCTGACTTAAGGATGACATTTAATATGTATTAATGAATAGATTAACCCAAAGTGGTAGCATGAAGTATTTCAAAGTGTATGTTCACATTTTTCAGTGAGATATGTGAAAATCCTGTGATGTGATGCCTAGAAAATATGGACCTGGCTGGGGCAGGGAAGGCTTGCCTTTGATGCCTTTGAAAGCAAAGATGAACAGTCCCTCCTTATACTCCAGGTGCAGTGAATCCTTTGAGTGATGAAGGAAAGGATCAAGGCGGGGAGAATGTGGTGCTGCTCCAACAACTGCTTTTGGTCTCAAGCAGAATATGGCACTGAACTAGGAACTGAAGCAGTTCCAGCATTCTCCTGGAGAAACTGGCTGCTTACTGCTTGGACAGGCTTACTCTTCGCTGGGTAAAAAATTATCTGGCCCAAAGAGTTGTGGTGGATGGAGTTAAATCCAGTTGGCAGCCAGTCACAGTGTTCCCCAGGGCTCAGTACTGAGGCCAGTTCTGTTTAATATCTTTATCAATGATCTGGACAAGGGAATCTAGTGCACCCTCAGCAAGTTTGCAGACGACACTAAGTTGGGTGGGAGTGTTTATCTGCTTGAGGGTAGGAAGGCTCCACTGAGAGACCTGGACAGGCTGGATCAATGAGCTGAGGCCAATTGTCTGAGATTCAACAAGGACAAGTGCCAGGACCTGCATTTCGGTCACAACAACCTCATGCAGAGATACAAGCTTGGGGAAGAGTGGCTGGAAAACTGCCCAGGAGAAAAGCACCTGGGGGTGTTGGTTGACTGCCAGCTGAAAATGAGCCTGCAGTGTGCCCGGGTGGCCAAGAAGGCCAACAGCGTCCTGGCTTGTATCAGATATAGTGTGGCTAGCAGGACTACGGAAGTGATTGTCCCCTTGTACTTGTCATTGTGAGGTCAAGTGAATACTGCATTCAGCTTTGGGCCCCTCCCTATAGGAAGGACATTGAGGTGCTGGAGTGTGTACAAAGAAGAGCAATGAAGCTGGTGAGGGGTCTCGAGCACAAGTCTTACAAGGAGTGGCTGAGGGAACTGGGGTTGTTTTGCCTGGAGGAAAGGAGGCTGAGACCTTATCATTCTCTAGAAGTACCTGACAGGAGGTTGTAGACAGGTGGGAGTTGGACTCTTCTCCCTAGTAACAGGCAATAGGACAAGACGAAATGGCCTCAAGTTATGCCAGGGGAGGTTTAGATTGGATATGAGGAAAAATTTCTTCACTGAAAGCGTTTTCAAGCATTGGAACAGGCTGCTGAGGGAAGTGGTTGAGTCACCATCCCTGGAGGTATTTAAAAGAGGGGTAGACGTGGTGCTTAGGGACATGGTTTAGTGGTACACACGGCAGTGCTAGGTTAATGGTTGGACTCGATGTTCTTAAAGGTCTTTTCCAAACGGAATGATTCTATGATTAAGTGTTTTATATGTGAGCTGTAATTCCCAAACAATTTTTCTGTGCTAACATTACTTTTTACTCACATTGGTAATTTTGTGGGTGTTTAGGTGGAGGCTCAAGTTGTTGAAGTGTTTTTAGAAAGAGTGCTCAGAAAATGACCTTGGCTAGCATGGCTGTCATTCAACATTTGGCAGAGTGGTTACTGTGCATGTCTTCAAAAGAATTAGTCCTTGTGTGGAGTACTTTAGATGGAAATGGATAAACTGTTAGTCAATAGAACAAAACCAATTGACTCTATGTGTTAAATATTTAAAAATGCCTACTGGCTAGATTCTCATGGGGGCTAGCATGAGATTTAGATATCTAACTATCTCTGCATGTTTTCCTAATCCAAAACTGCTAAGTCCTGCATCCCAACCCTCATTAGCTGCTGACAGTCTCTGAAAATGTTTATTGTTACAGAACAGAGAGATCTTTAATATCAGAATCTTGTGCCAGAAGCATTTCACTTCTAGTTCTGCAGAATAGGTCTGCCTCTATGGTAATATCTCCAGTCTGCTCCTTTCCATATCTTGTCTGCCAAGTCAGATCTCTCCTGTGTTCTCGGATGCTAATAAAACAGGCTTTTGATGAAGAGAGACAGTGAAAAAGAGCCAGTAATAGAAAAAAGTAGAGCAGCATCCAACACAGCCTTTTTGACATTCAGATTTGTGCTTTGTTCTGGGGAACAGGTCTGTTTGGTACGAAATGTGCCACAGCTAAAGGGATATTTGGACTTTAAATTGCAGAACCTGGAGTCCAGTTTCCGGTTTGGGCTATGGCTGGTTGAATCTGCTTTATCTAGCAGAACACCGTGTTATAAACCTATTGTGAATCATACTGTCAAGGTTATTTTACTTTTCATGAAGCATTTTCACGAAGCTATCAGAGTGTGATTTCCAGGTTCAAGTCCTTGTTTTTATGGCAGATTATATATTTAATCAAAGTTCTCTATATATGTGTGCTTATGTGTGCACATAAATGAAAAGACAAGAATATATTTTAGGAGTAAAGAATGGAATTAAAATCTTACTTTTAACTACTCCTGCAATATTTTGGAAAAAATAAGTCACCATTTAGAAGAAGGATTAATTGCTGTCCTGCTTTTAAAGCTGTGAATTCTATGTATCCACATGAGAGCATAATGTATATTCTTAAACCCAAGTATATCCTTAAGCCCAAGTGTCCTCTGTCTGATTCACTGTCTAAAAGTTAGCAGGTCATTCCAGTCAAGCTTTGCATCCAAAGGAGAGAAATTTTCATCTTTAGGGGGTGATTCATCTCAGAAGATAAAATGCTGAGACAGGACAGGTGAATTAGCCTCTGAAAGTATCTCTTTCTCTCTAGTGATTATAATGGGTGGATAGCTCAGGCATAAGGCAGATGAATTCCATTCCTACTGTCCCATCTAGGTGAGTCTTGCAGCATGTAGAGTCTTCTTGCCTTCTTAACCAATTAACTCTTTTTATGCACTGGATACAGAGCCTGAATGTTAACCTGGATGTATAAAAATAAACTCCATTAGACAACTAGATGTCTGAAAATAAGGCATGTAGCAATAAAGCCAAAGAAATCTTAAAAAAAAAATAAAGGGGGTAACTTACATCCAAAGAAAGGAGATAGGAAACTTTTGCACAGAGATGGAAAACCTACTGGAAAGGCATTTTTGAATTTCAGTGCTAATATATGAATTCAATTAGGCTGTTACGTGAAATGAAAGTTAAGCAAATATGCAAATGTTCTGAACTGAAACAAAGTTCTCAGTGGCATCCTATTTTCCATAAGGGAAAAAAAAGACATTAAGCACTTATCTCTGTGGATGCTGCATGTTTATTTTAGGCTGGTCATCAAGTCCACTGAAGACTTATAGTTAGAAAAGGGAATTACAGAGCTCAGTTTGGCTTTGTGCAATTAGCACTATTATCCCCAAAGAAGACTACAGTTGTACTGAAAAAAATACTGTAGAGCATGGTGTCATTTTGGAGTGCTGTGGAGTTGTTTCTGGAGCAGAGATGCTTTAGTAAGCACCTTCACAGAAAAAATGCATAGACAAATAGAGACAGAAAGCACAAGTCTGAAAAGTTTCATCTATGGGCAGCTGTTATGCCTGCTTTTAATTTCGATGGTTTGTTTATAGTTGATTTTATATGGAAAGCATGCCCTGTAAAAAAGAACTCTCTGATGACTTTGCTAGAGGCTTGCTTTGTTTTTCAGTATGAAAACTGGATAATTATTACTGCCTTTGATATGTTTGATGCAGGGAAGAGTAGAGGAGGTAAGAATAGTAGTTACTTGCTACTAAGGGCAAAAGTTTTGGGTTATTTTGTTTGTTTGTTTGTTTGTTTTTGGGAGAGATAGCTCTGTGTACTGGGCCTGGCTGGGATGTAGTTCACTTTTATTGGAGCAGTCAGTATAGTGCTGTGTTTTGGATTTCTGACTAAAACAGTGTTATAACACATCAGTGTTTTGACTATTACTCTCCCATCACATTAGAGGAGTGTGTGGGACTGAGTGAGTGGCTGTGTGGGTGCTTAGCTGCTGGCTGTGGTCAACCTACCACACAGTGGAAAAGTTTCCAGCAGATAAATACTACTGTGGGATTAGCCAAAGTAGAACACTTCCAAGTGATTCAAGTAACATGTATTGTCCCTTTGTATTGAATGGGAGAAATAGAATATGAGTCATCTAACCTATTCCAGATTTCTATACTAATATGAGATGAATCACCCCTTCAAAATGTGTTTTTTACTGTTTAGTCAGATCAATTACATGCTTCATGTCAGTAAGTGAGGGCTGGTCTCAGTACAGGTTCAGCTAAGCAAGAAGCTTAAAGAGAAGAAATTTATTACGGCAAGAAGAACAAAGTAGGTAACTGTGGGATGACTTGGATTGGCTTAGAGAACTGGAAAGCTGACAGCATTATTACACACCAGAAGAAGGTTTCATTTGGGGAATACATATTTAGTAATTAACAGTAAGCCCTCATATTTCTTAGTTTGCTGCTATGTGACAGCCAGATCAATGCTTGAAGGGATTATAGTAACCCTCTGTGGGTGGGATATAACATTATATTAAAAAAAGTTGAGAATGAATTAATGGGCTCATTCAAACCAGATATTGCATTCATAAAACTAGAATGGGAAAAGAACTAGAATTCTTGTAGAAGCACATGACTTTGGAGGACAGATGTTGTGACTGACAGCTGAGGTGATATAAAATAAAACAGATTTGAAATAAAGACTCCTGTGAGAAATAAGAACTCTTATCTGATGTAGCAGAACTGAATATTCAGCATATAAACTTGCTGGACAGTTATGGGACACAGTCTTAATAACAGACATTTGAACAATTTTGTGAAAAAGGCAAGTGTCAAGAAGACTACATGGGAACAAGAAAGAACAATGAGAAATTATAAGGGGTTAGGCAAAAACCAAACAGTGTATTTAACAGGTGTTTTAAAGCAGAATACATTGAATACCATCTTGGTACGTAGGAACTAATTAAAATTGTGTTCCATTTAATTCCTTAAATATTTGATGTGTTATGGTGAGCCACCGCATCTGTAATATATTAACTAAAAAATAAGTTGTTCAAATTAAAAGTTAATTTAAGTTCATAAAGATTGTACTTTTTAAAAGACACCTATAATTATTTTAATAAGATGATATGGGCAAAATCTATTTCAGTACAGTGACTACAGTCAACAGCTGCAGGCTTAGCATGAAATATTATATAGTTCAGCATGATAATTTAATTATAATTGCTATTGATAAACAAAAGGTTAATTATAGAGCAGGAGAATAATGTTGTGGAAAAGGACACCAAAGCTCTGCAAAGAGATTGCACATATTGCAAAATTTAAGGAACAGGTAGATGAAATGTCAGAGACTCATACAGAAATTAAAGCACATTTTAAAATAATCCTATTTGCTTTTTATAGTCTGTGTCTGGGAGAAATAGAATTCCATGCCATAGCAGAATTCATCCATTTTCAGCAGAAGTAATACATAGCAGACAACTTTTTCATCTGAGCCATTCTGGCCAGCTTCACAGGCAATGTTCTGTGCTCTTTGGCTTCTAAATGCAATTGAATGGTCCTTACTTTCCTCCTGAATTCCCTCATCAATCCTGTATAATAACATCTGCCAATGCACTCTTCCATTTCAACCGTTCTCATATGAAATCAGCGGCACAATAAACCGACTGCACTTCTTGACTTCTGAGTACTTGGCCATAAAAGTAATAGAATTACTTCATTGTTTCAGACTAAATGTTTAGGTTGTCTATATCCTTAGACAGACCTGCAACAGATGCTTAAGGAAGTGTATAACAATACAATATTTACTGTGAAATGCTAATTTCATCACAGTTCTGCCCTCTTATTTAGCATATTACCTTAATGATGGAATATGGAAAAGGAGTGAGAGCTTCTACTTTACTTTCTATAGTCCATGCAAAGTCATAATGTTGGTGGTCTTTTTTTCAGTGAGCCAATTTATATTCTCAGGTATGAATACATGACTTCATTTTACTGCAATGGAAATTGTCCGTCTTCATCTTCAAGTTGATTTTGTCCCATTGATTTTTCTTGACATTTTGTGTAAGCCTACAGAAAAAAGCAATGAATATAAACTTAAATGTGAGAAAACATGTGAATTTATTGACAGTATAAAGCTTAGAACTGTTCAAAGCAATTTTCCATGTTAGCAATTATTTTTGAGAGAGAGTGCTCTTTGAATGTTATTTGACTAGCTGCTTTTATTTTGGGGAAATGGAAGCCATGGAAACCTGATTTTAAGATGACTGATAAAGAAGTTTTCTTAGAGAAAGCTACATCATTCCAGCAATAACTTTGTCAGTTACAATGAAATACTTTCAAGATGATTACGGAAAAGTAAATTTCCTTTTGAGAGCATCAGTAAGTTCAGATCAATGAAGTTGTTTTTTCCTTCTTTTAAATAATAAATGAGCCTAAAACTTGTCAGTATCCTTTAAATACAGAGATATGAAGTATTTTGGAAATACTTGGTGTTATTCATGGTAGTCCAAGCTTTATTTTCTATTCCTTAAAATTTTATTTTATATATCTAGAAATTTGTTTGCAAATATATACACTTAAATTAGAACATATAATGTACATGAGATTCTTAATGAAAGGAGTTAAATAATCAAGTATTAGTTGTGTTTAATTTTCCCACAGATACTTTATGGCAGTGAGATTTTTTTCTTTCTGTGTAGACTGAGGTTACAGAGAGATGTCACCCCTACTTTGCATTTTGTATTCAATATTGCTGAACTTAAAATTTTATAATTTAAAAAATGATTATTTTCTATTATTGGAAGTTTTTCTATTTGGTATTTTTGGAAGTTACAAGAGAAGTTGAGAAGAAGCATAACATTTTAATTTAGAAGTGGTATAACGTGGACCTTTGTTGAGCATGGAGTTTACATTGGTTTCCTGTAGGTGGTTTTAAAACAAGTTTACTCTGATGGAAACCAGACTATGGAAGCCCTCCATTTTAATTAATTTCTGCATTTAATCCAAATGGAATGAAAATAAAACTTTCTATTTCACAAGTGTCTGCTTGGGCAGTTGTTACAGCTATTTATGGTAAGACTATGGGGGATGTGACGGTTGGAGGCCGTCTGGGGCAAAGTGACCATGAAATGTTAAAGTTTTCGACTCTCAGGTAGGCGAGAAGGGGAACCAGCAGGACTGCCATCATGGACTTCCACAGGGCAGACTTTGGTCTTTTCAAGAGTCTGCTTGACAGAGTCCCTTGGGAGGCAGCCCTGAAGGGCAAAGGAGTCCAGGAAGGCTGGATGTTTTTCAAGGAGGAAGTCTTAAAAGCACAGGCCCAGGCCGTCCCTGTGTGCAGAAAAGCGAGCCGTCAAGGGAAAAGACTGGCCTGGCTAAACAAAGAGATAGGGTCACAGCTCAGGGAAAAAAGGAGAGTTTATGGCCTTTGGAAAAAGGGGCGGGCCACTCAGGAAGATTATACATGCGTAGCAAAGTTATGTAGGGAAAAGATAAGAAAGGCCAAAGCCCAGCTTGAACTCAACCTGGCTTTGGATGTTAAAAACAACAAAAAGAAATTCTATAAATATATTAGTAGCAAGAGGAGGACTCGGGAACAGCCTCCATCCACTATTGGATATGGGAGGCAATGTAGTGACAAAGGATGAGGAAGGAGAAGGCTGAGGTACTGAATGCCTTTTTTGCCTCAGTCTTTAGTAATGGAGTAGGGTGTCCCTTGAGTACCCAGACCCCTGAGCCAGCAGATAAGGGCAGGGAGCAGAATGAAGCCCCTGTAATGCAAAGGGAAGTGGTGAGGGACCTGCTCCAGCACCTAGACACAAACAAATCTATGGGACCAGATGGGATTCACCCGAGGGTACTGAGGGAGCTGGCAGAAGTGCTTGCGGAGCCACTCTCCATCATTTACCAGCAGTCCTGGCAAACTGGGGAGGTCCCAGCCGACTGGCGTCTGGCAAATGTGACGCCCATCCACAAGAAGGGTCGGAGGGATGATCTGGGGAACTACAGGCCTCTCGGTCTGACCTCGGTGCCTGGGAAGGTCATGGAACAGATCATCCTGAGTGCCATTATGCAGCACATGAAGGACACCCAGGTGATCAGGCCCAGCCAACACGGCTTCATGAGGGGCAGGTCCTGCTGTACAAACCTGATCTCCTTCTATGACAAAGATGCTGGATGAAGGAAAGGCTGTGGATGTTGTTTACCTGGACTTTAGCAAGCCTTTGATACAATCTCCCACAGTATCCTCCAGGAGAAACTGGCTGCTCATGGCTTGGACAGGAGGACTCTCCACTGGGTTAAAAACTAACTGGAGGGCCGGGCCCAGAGAGTGGTGGTGAATGGAGTCAAATCCAGCTGGCAGCCAGTCACGAGTGCTGTCCCACAGGGCTCGGTACTGGGACCCATTCTCTTTAATATCTTTATCAATGATCTGGACCCTCAGTAAGTTCTCAGACGACACCAAGCTGGGTGGCAGTGTCAACCTGCTGGAGGGTAGAGAGGCTTTGCAGAGGGATCTGGATCGATCCCTCTGCTGGATTGATGGGCTGAGATGATGTTCAATAAGGCCAAGCGCCGGGTCCTGCACTTGGGTCACAACAACCCCAGGCAGCGCTACAGGCTGGGGGCAGAGTGGCTGGAGAGCTGCCTGGCAGAAAAGGACCTGGGGGTGTTGGTCGACAACTGGCTGAACATGAGCCAGCAGTGTGCCCAGGTGGCCAAGAAGGCCAACAGTATCTTGGCCTATATCAGGAACAGTATGGTGAGCTGGACCCAAGAGGTGATCGTCCCCCTGTACTCGGCACTGGTGAGGCCTCACCTTGAGTACTGCGTCCAGTTTTGGGTCCCTTACCACAAAAAAGACATTGAGGTGCTGGAGCAGGTCCAGAGAAGGGCAACAAAGCTGGTGAGGGGTCTGGAGAGTAAGTCTTATGAGGAGAGTTCAATGTAGTCATTAGGATGTAATATACATGTATATTAAAACAAGCATTATTCTGTACGTTAAACAAAAAAGGGGGAGATGTGGGAGAACAGGATGTTAACAGGATTGTGGAAGAAGCAGAGACCAGAAGCAGAAATGTAAGAAGCAGGAACACTAGCAGGGGACAGCCCGTGAGCAAGTCCAGATGACCCATAAACAATGGCGGCCCTGACTGATTGAGGGGAAATCCGCCCGCCTGGCAGTTGGGAGTTGCAGGGGCGTGTCGGTTGGGACAGAAGATACATTGGTACTATATAAGCGGCATGTTTGTTATAATAAACGATTCTGGTTGCATCACTGGCGGGGATCCGTGCCTTCATATGCTACAATAATGATAAAGAATTTAAAAATAGAAAAAAAAATCTTGGGGTATTCATATAGCAGAGCAGTCCTGAAAAAAAATACAGTGAAGATCTAGTGAAGACAAAGAATGGAATTATATACTGATCAACATGGACCATGACATAGAGACTCATTCATTTTAAAGCAATACAGCAAAAATACATCTGTGTAGTAGGGTAAAAAATGTAGTGGACTTTTAAAGGCTAACTTTAGTTTTGATTTTTCCTTTTGCTTTTACTAATCACTTTTCCCTCTCCCTCAACCCCTCCAAAATACAGTGATTCTATAGCTCTTGAGGGAGGAAAAAAGAGATAGGATCTTGAAAGTAAACATGTTACTAGTTAATAAAAAAAAAGCAAAAAAAAGTTTGCAGGAAGAAAAGTGAGATAAAATGTACATAAAAGATACTAATCAGAAAATGAAGTAAATAATGTATACAGTAGGAGAATAACCCAGGATACCTTAGAAAAAAAAAGTGAAAAGAGCAGAATAGCCCTCCTGAGAAAAAAAAAATGGAAAAGATAACACTAAAACCAGCTATACATATGTACTAATTAAGACACTAGAAAAGAAGTCTTGTACAAGACTGTTACATAATCAAAACCGGACAAGCAAGAGATAAGAACTACTACTTACGTGCACTAAGCTTTGATATTGATTTAAGACTTGGAGAACATCTAAGGGCACAATTGTTTCAGCAGGATGATAAGGGTAGAATCAATCAGAAAATACATCTTACTTTTTTACTGAAGAGTGTGGCTGATTTAATTGTGGTTTCCCTCATTATTCTATAAAGAAAAGAATACGAAACCTGTCAAACACAGACTTCTTTCACACTTTAGAGACCTGGGGAGTAGCTGCATCTCTAAAGCATCAACTGATTATGGCTTCTGCTAACTTGAACGTTTTAGGTCCTGATACTGTATATATACTGAAATCTACTGAAGGTAGTAGGCTTTCACACACGGTCATTTGAAGGACTGAAGTTATCAAAATTTCAGTCCTGTGTTACAGATTATAAACCTAATGTTATAACCCTAATACTGACATCTTTGCCAAATCTTGATCTTTGGAATAGGATTTATCAGTATCTGCCGTAGAAGCCCTATATCATATTTGCATTATTTCATACAGCAAGAAATGTACTACTTCTTGCTACGTGTATCGGTGACGGTTTTAAACGAAAAGAGGGGAGATTTAGACTAGAAAAATGGAAATATGGAAAAAAAAAATTTCAATAAGGGTGGTGAAACACTGGAACAGGTTGCCCAGAGAGTTGGCAGTTGGCCCCATCCCTGGAAACATTCAAAGTCAGGTTGGATGGGGTGCTGAGGAACCTGATCTAGTTGAAGATGTTCCTGCTCAGTGCAGGATGGTTGGACATGATATTTAAATGTTCCTTCCAACCCAATCTATTCTGTGATTCTGTATACTTAGATGGATACTTATGCTTATCCTAACTCCCTGTGACTCATCTTTTGTATTCATTCAGAAGTTTAGAGGAAAGCTAGAAGCATTATGTTTACCAGATCTAACCTTCTACAGATGAAATTTAACCTAGAATTGACTTAAAATTTCTAAGATCCAAACTAAGAATGATGATAATCACATGTGCAAAACAGGAAACTGTTGGGCTACTAACATTGTCGATAGTCACTTCAAAAATAGTTTCCACTCAGGTGCTCTAAGAAACATAAATATGAAAGCAGATAATACTGAAGAAAAAACATTAGGAAGGTGTCAT